TTTTTAATTAATATAAAGTAAAGTTATTATGTTCATATTTTTATTCAAATTTAATAATTTTTTTTTTCTTTTTAATTCTAAAAATCGAAAATTTTTAAGCTATATTTTTTCCTTTCTTTTTTAATTAATAATATTTAAAAGCAAATATCGTAAAAATTTGAATAACCATATTAATATTTTTAATAAGTAAAAATATTTATATATATGATTTTTCTTTTTTTTTTTTAATTAATAATATTCACAGGTGAATATAATAGATTTAATTGCAACGCTAACATTTTATTTGGATATACTAATGACAACATATGGTTCAACAGCAGATCTCGAATTCTTTTCAATTATTCGAATTATGCGTTTATTTAAACTTACCCAACATTCTAGTGGCCTCAAAATTCTCATGCATACCTTCAGGTTTTTAATTATTATTGATAATAATTAATCATATAACACATTTTAATGATGTCGTTTTTTTTTTTCGTTATTTTCAAGTAATATGAACGGGTATTATTCATTTAGACGTGCATATTCTATTAAAATGCTTAATTAGTTTTACAAATTATTATTAGCATTTTCTCAAACAATTATATAAAATATTTGAATAAATAAAAAAAAAAACAACGAATTTTTTATTCTTTTTTTTTTTTCAATTTTTTCAGGGCAAGTGCTAAAGAATTGATGTTATTGGTATTTTTCCTTGCTCTTGGTATTGTATTATTTGCATCATTAGTTTATTATGCGGAACGGATTGAAATAAATCCGGAAAATCAATTCCAAAGTATTCCATTGGGTTTATGGTGGGCTGTAAGTAAACATATTCTGTTTTTGTTTTTTTTTTATTTGTTCACTTTTTTGTTTTATTATTTATTTCAGGAAAAAAAAACAAAAAAAAAGAAATTGTTATTTGGTCAAGAAACGTTTTTTTTTTTTTTATTATTATTATTCTTATTTTTTTTTTGATTTATTTTATCACTCAATCTTTTTTTCTTTTCTTTTACAATTTTTTTTTTTTGCTGAATGAATAATAAATGAAAAAAAAATGTTTAAACAAAATATTTAAAGATATTAAAAGATTAGAACAAAGTTAATTTCTATTATGCAAGTGAATAAATAAATAAATATGACAAAAAAATAAATAAATAAACAAATGAATAAACAAATATCAAAAAAAAATACAAAAGAAAAATAAATTAATTAATGATTATATAAATAGAAAGAGATACATTTGTTTATTAATCTACTTTTTCTTTTTTTTCAGATAGTGACAATGACAACAGTTGGTTATGGTGACATGGCACCGCATACATATTTGGGACGTATTATTGGTTCAGTATGCGCACTTGCCGGTGTTTTAACTATTGCATTACCTGTCCCTGTAAATATTACATAATAATAATTAGTAATAATGATAATGATAATAATAGTAATAAATAATAATAATAATAATAATAATAATAATAATAATAATAATAATAATAATAATAATAATAATAATAATAATAATAATAATAATAATAATAATAATAATAATAATAATAATAATAATAATAATAATAATAATAATAATAATAATAATAATAATAAT